AAAGAAAAAAAATACTTACTTATTTGATGTGTTTTCATTATTAAGATTTTCATCATCGAATGTTCTCTTCACACCTCCTTCATTAAGATTGTTCTGTTCCATGAGATACTTTTCAATATCCGTGTTGTTGAGCATAGGCGTGTATTCTTACAGTATTATCCTCACGATCGAACACGTGGATGTTGTCGGAATGACTGTTCCTTGTATACTAATCGTTTAAAACTATTATAGTTTGATTATATATGTCCTTCCATCTTTCCCCTCTCCTCCTCCTTATTTCTCGTTATATTTTATGTAGTACTCGATCGAAATAGTCGACTCAAGATATTCTGCATTTGTTGCAATAATCCATCTCTCGAACATTCGACGTTGAGTATGTTTATATTAAATTTACCAGCTTTTGTTACAGTTCTCGTGAACTCGTTAAATTGATAGAATTGTTTTTTTTTTAGCAAAGTACAGATTACCGTCCATATATCGGAAGGCTAAGGTGGGAGCTGACGGTATTCCCGGGAATACCGCTTGTAACGAGTGATATGAACGAACACTCATATTGCATTCATCTATTTGCGCCACATCGTTATTATTGAAGATCACATAGGTTTGTCCTCTGTTAGTATTTACTACGGTATTGATGAAAATGTTCGGGGGAAATCCTAGACTTGAGAGACGTTTTGGACAGCTTTCTTTCAATTTGAAACTGGGATACTCAACCATGTAAATTACATCGTGTATAAACAGTACTAGTTCACCTGAAGGCCTTTGATATGCTGCTGATAAGGAGAAATTATCCGGAAGGAAATCCATGTAACTGTTTAGTACGTGTGGTCCATCGTATTTTGCATCATTTATATCTATCGACCATACGTAGCGTTGATACGTGACGAATATTCGATGATGTAATACCATTACCGTATCCACATATTGTAAAGTACAGAGATCTATGTACGTGGGTGTATTTGTTGTAATTTCAGTAGTTGGTGGTTGTGTGGTTGTGTTGTTGGTTTTGGATTTTTAATTCCATAAAGTTGTTGAATGACTAAAATGTCCTCTATGTTGAGTTTAGCGATTTTATTATTATTCCTAGCAGTGACAACTGCGAACATTATGGATTCTTCACGCGAACTGTGTGGTAATCCTAATGAGTGTCCAATTTTATGTATTAACGGTTAAGCAGATAGTCCTTGTTACTACTAGCAGATTTGTCAGTTAGATATATATGCCACGGTTCTGCACTATCTATGTGTATTTCACTGCTGTAATTGTTAACGGTAGGAGGCTAGAACGCGTAAGCGAGTACTCCACCAGGTCCATCTAACGAAGAGGTGCAAATTTCTTCGTTGCGTCTACGATCAGCGTACGTGTGTGTCCCACTACGATAAGATATCAAGATATCGGGATTTACCGTTTTACGTTCGAACGGTAAAGATGAATTAGCTGCCCATAGCGAGAACGCGAATTCGGTAGTTTGCAAGGTTTGTGGATCCGCTAGCTGGAAATTCCACGTGAGATGTGTTTTCGCCCATTTACGTCTACCTATATTATACTCGTAGATGTCAGGGAGACCACATCGTGGTTTACGCATCTGATACAACGTATAGTTATTCAATGTACCATCGCCCTGTATTTGATAATATTCTTGAAACAACGAAATAGCCTGTTTAAGTTCTCCCTCTTCGAATGATAATTGCGTATTGTTGTCAACTTCACTTAAGTAGCCGTACTTTTGTAGATACAGAATTACTTCAGTATCTATGCTTTCACGATTCGTCGCTGCCGTCGACGCTGCCGTTCTTATTGTCGTCGTCGTAGTAATCGTAACGAAAACGATGATGATGACGATGAACGTGAGAGACATCGCGATGTAACACAAGTATACGATACGTAGTAAAAAAAGATGCGTACCCGAACGTTCTATTAAGAGTAATGAATCACTTTTCGTGATTTTCTATATATATGACATGAATCATGTTTCATACCTTAATATTTTGCAGACGAGACTCTTATCTATCTAAGAGGAAAGGGATATGACATCATTACTTTTTGTAAGATATAATATATAATATATTTAAGGTAATATGTGTTTTACAATACAATATGATAGCGTATGAAACTCAATAAAGAGTTTAAAAATATTATACAATTTTGCGAATAACATTAGTCAATGGATTATACTCTATCACCCTGTCGTGAATAATAAGACAATAAGCTGTGGTGTTCAGTGGAATATTTTCCATACATTCGAATTCTATACGAATATCTACAGTGGCGCTCTTTATCGATTCGTTTTGGCGAGAACAATCGATCACTACGCGCGCGCGCGCGAATGGACCGTGTACAAGAAATTCTCCGATAGATAACATAGGATCGTGATTGTTGTAACCGTAGTACGTCTTTTGAAATTTTACATACATATCGTACAGTATAGCGTATTTTTTGTGTTCGAAATCTAAATTCATATCGTCGTAAGGATAAAAATCAGAATTCAAAAAAAGTTTCACATTAGAGATTACATATGTCGAATTGTGAACCATTTTTCGACGTTACGATTCTTTTTCCAGTTTGAAGTGCAAAAATTATGTATCGTGGTTTTTCCAATTGCGACGTTGTTTTAACAGCCCACGAATGCTTCGTTGTGCTTTGCAGCAGAGGAAATTCGTACAGGTCCCACGACCGGAAACATACGCTGAGATATCGTCCACCTTCCAACGTTCGCAAAAGTGATAATTTATTGACATCGTTCAGCACTACATGTGGCATTCTCCATTGTATCTTTAATAGTGTGATTTTAGGTTCCGTCGA